GGGTGGGGTGAATTAATTAAAGGGGTGGTGAATTAATTAAAGGGTGGGCTGGATTAATTAGAGGGGGGTGAATTAATTAAAGGGGGGGTGAATTAATTAAAGGGTGGGCTGGATTAATTAGAGGGGGTGAATTAATTAAATTAATTAAAGGGGTGGATTAATTAAGGGGGTGGATTAATTAAAGGGGGGGTGGATTAATTAAAGGGGGGTGGATTAATTAGAGGGGGGTGGATTAATTAAAGGGGGTGGATTAATTAAAGGGGGGTGGATTAATTAGAGGGGGTGGATTAATTAGAGGGGGGGTGGATTAATTAGACAGTATGGTATTTTGATCCCCAGACAAGATGAGTGCAAAGAGAAAGAGCTGTACATACCGGTACCGTAAATAAATAAGCCCTACCCTGAAAATAAGCCCTAGTGTGTTTTTTGTGACTAAAATTAATATAAGACCCGGTCTTATTTTCGGAGAAACACGGTAGCACTGATATGAGTACAAGTCATGGCAATTACTAACCAAGGGCAAATGTAAGTAGCTGTTTGTGGGGATTGCTTCCTGCCTGCGTAAATTAGCTCTTTGCTGTCACAGACCCTGTGACGACCTGCTTGACCTCTACCCCAATAATGCCCTTCCTGTGCATTCACATCACAACCATATGCAAAAAAAATAAACATGTTCTGTGTGCACTGCACCAGCAAGATTACAGAAACATCAACCCACTACATGCTAGGCCAGCAGGATTGAAGAAACTTTAACCCACTACTCTCCTGGTCAACAGGATTGCAAAACAAATACTCACAACTTGCTTGGCTAGCAGTTTTACAGAAACATTAATCACTACTTGATGGACCAGCATAATTACAGAAACATTAACCTACTACTTGCTGGGCCTGCAGTAGTGCAGACACATTAACCCAACACTTGCTAGGCCAGCAGGATTTCAGAAACACTAACTCGCTACTTGCACGGGCAGCAATACAAACATATTAACTTGTTGTTTTCAGTACTGGTAGACAAAGAGCACCTCTGAATTTGAATCTTCAAAATAGTATCATTTATTGTTTAGTATCATTAATTCTGCTCAGAAAATGGTCAAACTTGACAAACATACTTTTTCAAGATATTTAACTCCAACCATGACAAGCCCCCCTTAAATATGTACAATATTAATTTGATGATCTTGTTTAGTTAATGTAGTGATGCAGTCTTTCTTATAAAACACTTTCTACATAAACAAAATCCTTGTATTAAAATAATTTTTTGTGTACAATGTGCTGGGTGCATCTTAAACTGTATTTTTAGTAGAATTTGCATGTATGTGGTAAAACACCTAGGAGACCTACAGCTGCAGGTTTCTTTTAACCCCTTTGAAGTGACAAGGTTTGTGCATGCTCGGCAACACATTCACTTCAACAAGATTTTTGACAATTTGCAATTCTCATGTTCAAGCCTTTTATGATCACTGTGTGATATCATCCTTGCATTAAAGTGATTCAGTCACTTTGCAGATTTTGTTGCTAAATGAATACTTCTTTACCTTTTTATTTCTCCTTGTGTTTACTATTATTAAAGGACCACTATAGGCACCCAGACCACTTCAGGTCAATGAAGTGGTCTGGGTGCCAGGTCCCTCTAGTTTTAACCCTGCAGATTTAAACAGAGCAGTTTCAGAGAAACTGCTATGTTTACACTGAGGGTTAAGCCAGTGTCTCCCTGATAGCCACTAGAAGTCATTTCTGCGATTCTCACTGTGAAAATTGCATTGAACTCATGCAGCATGAGTTCAGATCCCCAAAGGAAAGCATTGAGTAATGCATTCCTATGGCCGGTATGAATGCGTGCGCCTCTCTGGCGTATTCCGCTCCACTCGGGAGCTGACGTCAGCGGGGGAGTTGAGGCCACCAGCGCCGAGGGAGCCCGGCGTTGGATTAAGGTAAGTGGCTGAAGGGAGAGGAGCCATGAGTGAGGGGGGTCCCTAATAAGGAAAACGGGTTTGTTTTCGGAGCACTATAGTATAAATTCACATTAGTTTCTTAGTTATAGAGTAAGACACATGGCAATAGGACTCTATTGCGTTTGAAACACAATTCTGTATTCCTAACACTATACTATCCATGTCCCTACTTCACTTTAGCCCCTTCCTCCCACTGTGCAGTATAATGGGTACTTACAGTACCCCCCCCCTCCCTTTAATTTGCACCCACACTGTGATATTTTAGCAGTGTGAAGGCATGAATGTGCGGCTACAAGCCATGCCTCCAATTTCCTTGGATATTAGTTGCTGTACCCAGGCATATTGTTACAATACATGTGCATGCACAGTCCTGTCACAGTTTGTCGTACACAATCATTGCATTCAATGATTCTCTATGACAGAATCATTGGCAGATTGCAGCGAGCTTTAGATTGGACCATGATCCTGGAAACATGCCCCCCGGATGACATTATGCGGGGAGGAGCGGGCAGCTGGTGCTGGAGTAAAGGTAAGTAAAGGCAAGTGGGAGTATAATCCTTAAGACACAGGGGGCCTAAGGAAAGGAAAACTAAAAAAAGATGTGGAAGGACCAGGATTGGCTGTGCAGCTGTTGCCACTTCCCTGCTGAAGAGGATGTCATTGGAGAAGGGTTATTTCCTTGTGATATGATGTAAAGACTTAGTTATATTTTATTGAACAATGTATTTGGCAATGCATGAAATCCATAATGACGTAGATGGGATTTGTAGTTCCCAACTATAGTTATAATTCCTATGTCTTGCTGCTAAGAATGAAGTGTAACCTTGAAAGCTGAATGTCAATACAGTGCTATACAATAGGAGAACTTCCCTGTTTTAGGAAGCTGTGATTCACTATCCCCGTCACCTTCAGAGAGAACAGCAGGATGTTGAGTTTGTACAGGCTTAATTAAAGGAATCATTTTACTGGCGAGCTTGAACACTCTACGCTTTCTTTTATTTTTCTTTAGTTTTTAATTTCTTTAATTGGGCTGCTTTGTCGTGACATCTTGGAGGCTGTGGTTGCTGTAGAATGAGTATACCTAGAGTCTTTCTTGAAGGAGTAATGATGACAAAGCAAATGTCTTTTTATAAGGCTTATAGGAATGTAATTTGTATCTGTTATCAGATGATGTTTGAAATGGGCTGATAGATTGGGAGGTAGGTAGAGAGATGGATGTCTGTCTGGCTAGCTATCTTTAATACGTGTGATTCTTTCAGATCTGTAAAAGTCTGAAAACATTGTAGCAGTTAGGTACCGCTTCCAGAATCTATACATTCTGAGTGAAGCAGTCTGTAAGTTGTGTCCCTAGAAGTAGCAAATAAAGCAAATACAGTGAATATAGTGATAAAGTGCAACAACAGAACTGTTGTAACCACCTGAGTGGAACCCCTCAAACCACTCTAACAATAACAAATACCACCATTGTGTCCATAGAAGTAACTGTTGAAATGAAGAATGCACTGCTGCTTTATTTAGTGTCTGTCAGCATTGTTGCCTTTTAATTACTGGTACATTCATAACTCTGATTGCCCTACAAGAGCTGCAGCTCTTACAGATTGGGTTTCATGGGCCCCTGCTGTGCTTCATCTATTTTTTCATAACTAGAAATGAAAGAAAATGCATTTCTGACAGTTTGCATATTATTTTTCATTTTGTTTCTCTGTATTGTCCTTGTCATCACACATTATATTTTAGTGTGTGTGTGTGTAAGACCTGCCAAGAATGGGGTACATTGACATGTGGCAGGCTTATGCAATGTATTATTCTTTGCCTAGGTGAGGTGTTTTCAAATAAAATTGTTCCATTTTGTGAGACTTGAAAATGCTGTTTAGTGAATGAGTGAGTGTGCTGGATTGTGTATGTTGTTTGTATATATAAGTGTGTGTCCATGTCCGCTTGCCAGTGACTAGCCATTTAGCCTTCGCAAGTACAAACTTAATGTTCTATGGACCCCCCAGGCTTGCAGAGATGAGTAACTTTTAAGGCCTGGATAGTAGTAGGAGCAATAATAACAGTGATATTCTTTTCCATGCATCTAGTGTATCTTACACTAAGGTGTATTTGTTCAGCAAACACACAGAACGAAGTATGATACATTCGTTGATGTTGAATGATTGCCATTAGATTCTTTCCAGCGAGATAACATAAAATTGATGTTTCAGTTTCTGTTTGGAACATTTATCCATAAAAGCTCCAAATAGGAACTGAGACGTCAATTCTAGGTTATCTTGCTGGAAACAAACTAATAGCAATCATTCAAGATCAGTGAGTGCACCATACTTCACACGCGGCTTTTGGAGCTACTGTTCTGTACACAATCAATGCAACATTAATGGTACATTTTCACAAAAAAAATAAAATGTTAGGGGGATATCTGTCTATCTATCTGCACACTATATATGTATGTGTAAAAACCTAATGCTAACATAGTACACCCATCTTTTTTAGTATACGTCGCTCCATACAGCCTTGATTTCACAAAATGAGCAGGATAATTCCACTTTGGGACGGGAGGGGCGAGGAGTTCAACTCAAAATTAATCTAGTCTTTCAAATATACACAGAAAAAAGGGAATTGGAGGTACACATGGAAACTGCATTTCTTATCAGTTCTGCTGCTGTAAAAGACAAAAAGTTACACACATACACACAATCCATGAGCCCCGCATACAGTCACATACACACACATATATACAGACACACACACACACACATACACCCCCCGATGGACACATACATACATACATACATACACACACATACAGATACACACATACACACAGACAGACACACACACATACACACACACCCCGACAGACATACACAGAGACACATACATACAGACACACACAAACACATACAGACACATACATACAGAGACACACACGCATACAGGCACATACATACAGACAGACACACATACATACAGGCAGGCACATACAGACAGACAGACACACACATACACATACATACAGTCTGTATGTGTGTGTCTCTGTATGTATGTGTCTGTGTGTGTGTCTCTGTATGTGTGTGTCTGTATGATACAGACACATACATACAGACACACACACACAAACAAAAAATAAAAAAGGTTAGCGCTAATAATAAAATGAATGGAATAAATAAGAGGCAGCAGCCTTATAGGGGGTCACCCTCTAACCCTCTACAGTAAAAGTATACACAAAAACAAAGAAAAGGCTGCGCCAAAAGGGGTAAATAAAACAAGTAAATTAGGTACAAATAAAATAGTGGTAAAATGTTCTATAAAAAAGTCCCAATAATAGATGGTGTCTCAACTGATGTGGTGTCTTCTTTGGTAATAGTCGTCCGTCTCACGATATGAAAGACACAATGGGAAAGAGCCAATCGTGCAGAGTGTATAAATAAGTAATCGTGAAATTAAAATATAAATTACACACTCACATTTCCATGAGCTAGGACCAGCTCTAGTATGATGGCGGCGGGTATCCAGTCGCAGGGGTCGCAGTTGCGACCGGGTCCGTCTGCCCTGTGGGCACACACACACTTTAAATTGGAAAAGGTTACTGGGAAGGATACAAAATGCAGGGAACTTCTGCACCACATTCTTTGCAGTGATACAAAGTTGTTATGGTGCTTAAAGTTGTACCTCTCTCACAAATACAAGCCACATGTTGCCTGCTTGTACATGAAATATATTGCATTGAGTATGTAGCATTAATACATTGATGGAAATAAATAATCCCATAAAAACACGATGATGAATTAATTAATTGCCCTCGGCATCATATGTTTCCCGTGCTACATATGGAATTTATAGGTCCAATAAAAAATAGTCAAGGTGGCAGGTCTACTTGCAGCTGTCGAGAGATTTTCTTATTTTTTTTGAAGGTGCAAATATACTTCTATTCGGCACAATACAATGGCATTGAGTGTACATTCACAAATTTAAAGGAATTGAGGCTCCTGCTTGTGAGAGGCTACATTGTAAAACAGGTCTGTCACCCAGCTCACACTAGTGATTTAACCTAGCCCCTTAAAACCTCAAAATTTAACTCTGCAACTCCTGTTGTTCTGTTTTTTTTAAATTTAAATAGACCTTTGAGTCACATAAATGATCTCCTAGTTTACATAGTATCTTAGAATGAAACTTGCCACAAAGGATACCTTTGTGAAATCAACATAAACACTGGCATGTCATAAAAAAAAGTTATTTTTTTTGTGTCTGTGTGTTCAGTTGTGAATTGGTTAAGGGTTTAATTGCATCTCCATTTGAGGGCAGTTGGTCTTAGCCGTGAATGCATTTAACATTTACCAACTGGACATTTGTGCTTTGAATTGCCTTTTATAATGCTTTTATATTTCCTGATCGGCCAACATCAAAAGGAGCGAAGGACAGCATCCATCTCCACTAGAAGCACAAAACCTGCCTTCCTAAGAAAGGTCAACCACATTACCAAAGGAAGATACACAAGGCCTTCACAGTGCCTAAAATTAACTAGAAGATATGTGTGTGTGCACATATATATTTTATTTTCACTAAAAATCTGGGAATTAAATCACCCCAGTAACAACTTCCACATGTCAAGCAGACAGCCACAAATGTTTCCTGCATCACCACAGTACAAAGTAAAAGGGAGTGCTATTTAAAGGGTTAAAAATTACGTTAGCTCGGGGGGCAGGGCCTGACGCTCAAGGAGACCAGACGTGTCTTCCGGCTCTCCTAACACTAAACTATGGCTTAAATTGCTTTTCTAAGACGCAGAAGCCCCTCTGACACAGCTGCGGACTGACAATATACAAGCCTGAACCGATTATATGTGTTGAGTGTTCCGGTCCGACGGGCTTTCACCAGGGTTTCGTCTCATGAAAATAGTGCACCAGACGACAGCGAGAGGGGGCCAATCTCCCGTTCTGAAGAGCACTGCTCATTACAGCCTCTCTGCAGCTCCGTGGCCCAGTGGGGGATATCCCAGTCCCCACCAGAACAAGCGACTAATCCTCATAGGCAAAGGAAATTGCAATCTGCCTGACAAGCCAGGGCCTTGTGGCATACTTAAAATGGCCGCCACATCGAACGAACAACCCAGTGTCCCGTTGGGAAGAAAAGTTTAATGCAGCGTTTGATGCCATATGTACAGCCTTTTGGTCCCGGATAGAGTCTTGTCAAGCAGCAACTACCACCCACCTCGACCGCAACAGGAGATGTTCCCAGCGGCGTTCCAGTGCTCTGTCCTTCCTCCAGGCCGGGAGCCAAGATGGAGGTGCTGTTCACAGCCCTGTTCACAGCGTGCAGAGTGGGAGCCCTGAAGATCCGCAGTCCTACCAATGCACCAACTCATACTCCGACCTGGGCACGGAGAGGGGAGAAAATGACGTCCCACAACATTCATCCCCATAAGCTGGGAGATCAAGATCCCCATGTGGAGCCGGAAAGCAACATGAAAATCATCCGGAGACTTGTGCCTGGAAGCAAGATGAGCTCACAAGTGAGGCATACCTGTGGTATCGGATACAAAAGAGAGAGGTTGGCGCACACAATGGATAACTTTGCAACAATCTGTAATAAATATAACAGAACCTTCATAGGGCAACATATATAAGAAAATAATCAAATATAAGTGTAACTGGAAACACTCACAATTTTGAGAACCATATAAGTCGGCTCTCTACTGTAGTAGCATGTATGTAACTCCAATACGACAAATAGCCGCAATGATGGTGGTCCCCCAGGAAAAAGAAAGCTTCAACTTCACCTGGATAGAAGTTCAGGAACCAAGGATAGCTAAAATAGCTCTTTATTAAATGAAGGTAAACATAAAAAGTACTAGCACAACGCGTTTCGACCAACATACTGGTCTTCCTCAGGTGCAATAAAATCAAATGAAAATAACAGGTTTAAATACATTGCAAACAGAGTGAAAATACAAAACACATGCAAATAATTACTGAAACCCCTCCCAACATGTCCATATATGGTAGTTCCGTTTGTACCATTCCTCCCCCAGTATGGTGGATATGTAATATGTCCTCACTGATATCCATAGGGAACCGACCTCTTCATAATGGCCGCACGGACAGGACGCCGGTAGCAATCACGTGACTTCCGTCATTACAATGGAACGTCACTTCCGGTTTGCGCCATAACATCACTTCCGGTTAGCGGTCGTTCGGGAAAGGGAAGGGGCGGTACACCCTCACCACAGTTAGTTTCAATCAGGAGAGCGTAGTTAATATGTCCTAATTAGTCCGAAAAGCTCATAATCCGCCATATTTGTAATCGGAAAAGACAAGGCAAGAGAGGGCAAGGAGATAAATAGAATTAATGCGATGTTATAAAAGACAAAAACTGAGCAAACTGCAATCTAATCATAAAAAAAAAATAAAAGAATAAAAGAATACAGCATATATAAATACTAATATAAAAAATCCAAAATAGGGAAGCACATATAAAACATAAAAGTAATTGGAACATATATAAAATATCTATAAAAAATATATAATGAGGAACTACAAAGATACTATATACAAAATGTGTTATAAAATATTAAAAATATTTATAAAATTGGTCCAATATCAAAATCAATATTTAATCCTTTTGGAAATAACGTTTGTAAATCAAAAATCCAGGATCTCTCTTTTTTACTAAGATTTAATGCCTTATTTCCACCATCAACAAGAACACGACATTAAAGATTTTATAGGCCATAAACCTAAATTTATTTTCAGAGGTGCTAGAAACTTGAAACAAATTTTAACATCAAGTTTTGTAGATGGTGAAAAGGAACAGACATTTCTAGACGATTGGTCTAAAAAACAAAAAGGATTTTTTCATTGTGGGAATTGCAATGCTTGCAAAAACACTACTATTAATAAGAGAAAAAAAAGAGAATTTTATGTCTGTAGTCACAAATAAGTTTTTTACGGTGCCCGGTTTTATTTCTTGTGATTCGAATAATGTTGTCTATCTTTTAAATTGTAAATGTGGGTTACAATATGTGGGCAAAACCTCCAGACCCCTTAAAATCCGTATTGGAGAGCACATCAGGAACATAAAAAAAGGTTTTTTAAACCATAGTATCTCCAAACATTTTTTAGAAAAACATCACTCTAACCCTAAAGACTTAGAATTTATGGCAATAGAGAGAATTTCCACCCATTGGAGGGGTGGAAATAAGGCATTAAATCTTAGTAAAAAAGAGAGTTCCTGGATTTTTGATTTACAAACGTTATTTCCAAAAGGATTAAATATTGATTTTGATATTGGACCAATTTTATAAATATTTTTTATATTTTATAACACATTTTGTATATAGTATCTTTGTAGTTCCTTATTATATATTTTTTATATATATTTTCTATTGATTATATTTCAGTGTACAACTGTTTATATCTGACAAACCTATTCTTTGAAATATTTGTATATTGTTCTATCTTAGTTTTTTCACATGCACAACAAAAATAAAGAATTGAAATAAAAAAAATGTTAGCTATATATTTTATATATATATAGATATAGATATATATATATATATATATATATAATAGAAATAAATATTTCTGTGTATGTTTGTAGAGTATATTATTTTATTAAATGATTAATAAACAAGTGGTTAATGTTGTTGGTTTGTGCATATTGCTTAATGAATGGTTGTTTGGTATGTTTACTAGAATGGAGAATATGTACAGTCAAGTGCTCACTAATTTCTGCCGCACACATCAGCGCAACATCTTAAAAGTATCTCCCATTCCTCACGCAGGACTCATTTAACACTGTAATTAACTCACTTATAATGTCTCACCTCCGTGACTGCAGTCCCCTCCTAATCAGTCTCCTTCTCCCGTGTAGAGTAATCCGTTCCTAATGCTTCTGCCGGACTCATCCATCTCGCCCATCATTCATCATTGTCTGACATGGATTGACATGCTTCTCTCTGTCAGTCTATGGACTTTGCATCCATATCCTCAGAATTAATTTGATAATATTTTATGCATTAAAGAAAGCATTTAATAACACTGCACCCCACTATATCTCAGTCTTTATTGGTAAATGTACTGTAACAGCTTCCCTTCGCTCCCTTTTAAAGCGCTGCTT